ACTCAAGATGTTTCACGCTGTTTACTGTTTTAACTTGAAATTAACTTCAAGTTCTTTCACGCAGTCAAGCAATTATTTAACCAATAATCAAGATTTAACAGTGAATATTCAAATTAGATCTCTTGAAGGAGACACAGCGTTCTTGCTTCTAGCATTAACAAGGCTTGTGCATTCAGCACTTTTTTCCCCCGTTATCATGTGACAGGCTATTTTTAATATTTGCCTGAATATATTTTGCATCTCCCTTTGATCCAGAAAGCAGTTTTGTGAGGCTTGTCTGCATATTGCATTTCCCTTGCCGTGGCAGTCCAGAGCGAAGCTTTTCCATCTCGCTGCCATTTCAGCATCGGCTGGTAATGGCAGGAGCACGCAGCCGAGCGTGCGTGCCTGCTGCTCCAGCAAAAGCCGTGCTGAGCAGGCTGCACAGGGGACTGCCACGTGCCTGAAGCACATGGTCATGCAGGCAGCAGCCATCCAGAGCCTCACGTGAGAGTCAATGTGAAGAGCAGCTCTCGCTACCAGCCTGCCCGACGGCTTAGCTGGTCATTCCCGTGTCCTCACGTGGGAGAACAAAGGTCAGGAAACTCCCAGCTCCTCTGGGTGCTGGACGGAGAGTCCTTCGACTCAGAGAGAGGGGGCACACACCGCGGCTCATGCAACAACTAGTAACTGCTTGTAAACAATGATTAAAGCTTGGGAGAGGATTCCACATAGGAGCAGGCTGCTGGGAATGCTGCCCTTCGCACTGCTGGAAGAGGAGGTCACGTTGAGAAACACAGGGGAAGGAAGGCTGCAATAAAGGGAGTGCTGCACACACACCCTGTTGTGGGCTGGCCCCTTCACCAAGTCATCCCCAGTATGCAGCCGAGAGGCTGGATGGAGCAAGAACAAACCTCTCCCAGCTGGCTGCTGTGCCTATCACAAACAAGAGTTAAAAGAAAATGCCGAAAACCACCCCATCACACCTACTGTCAATCATTACCGTTCAGTTATCGATGTAAGAAGCAAAAGGCAATGGACACTGCGCTCTACATGAAGTATCTCAGCTGAATAAATGAAACATGGCTTTTAATAAGATCTTTGTGTTCTTGGGGGGTGGGAGGTGTACGTACACTTCAACTGGAAACAGTTTTCAGCTTTTTGAGGAATGTGCCCCTAATTATTTTTTTCTTTAAACTGAAAGTGAAGACTTACAGATATTGCAGATTACAAAGCTTGTTTTTCTTTTTTTCTTTCCTTAAATAAACTTTGGCAGATCCTTTGCAAGCAGTCTAAGGCACCCAGCCATGCAGACAACACAGACTGAAAACCACTGTCATAGGAAAGCAAAGAATGAGGGAGATTTTTCAAACCCCCAGCCCTATCCTCCTTAAGGAGCAGGGTACTAACAACATATCCCTATCACTGTGTCAGCAGCATCCCTGTGACACAGCCCTACATCCACGGCTTTGGTGGCAAACAGAAAATTTGGCTCTAAACCACAAAATCCCCAAAACATTCTAATTAGGGTCTCCCATCAGACTTTGCTGATGCTTCTGAACTCTAATTCACTCCGTTCAAACCCTTTACAGTAGCTGCCCCGTTCACCCAAGTAAGGGCTACACACAGAAAAGCGCCAGATAAAAGCAACCACCAACTAGTTACCTCCAAAATACAAACCTCCCTTTACACACAGCTACAAAAAATCCCTATTTCCTTAAAGGGACTCCACAGTTAAACGGAGATTTACATTCCACCAAAAAATCTGGCAAAAGATAACACAAAGTCTGTAACAGATGAAGAACCATGAAAATGGGTTTGCAGTAACAGGTTACTTTAAAAGCTAGTTTTATAAAACCTGCTTTTCTGAGCAAGACTACAGATTTCAACCAACTAACTAGTATCCTGTATAGGAAGAGAAAATAAATTTTAAATGGGTCTACACATTACAATGAACGGTGGTTTGCAATGCTAAAATAAATCAAAATACTATTTTTTTAATCACAAAATTGGTACTGTGAAAAAGAAATGCATCAGATTCCAATCTTGCAACAGCCCCGTGTCCCTCCTTTTCAAAAAAACACCCCAGTATTTGCTGTATCTACATTCCCCAAACAGGAATTCATGGGAAGGAAGGTGCTTGCTTTATTCTTTGCTATAGTCCAGAGAATAGATGATAAAGTGGTGAGCCTAAATATTTTCCCATCGACCAGACAATCCGAGCTGGAAATACAGAATTAAGTTAAATTTATAAACAGCCTTTTAGTGGTTTTTTTTTTTTTTTTTTTACATTTAAGAAAAAAGAAAATCAGTGAGGATTTTGTAATGTCACGTTTACTGTCAGGGTGGGCTCAGCTTTGCTGAGCCTGATGACACTTCTCAGTGAACGCCAATGTAGATCTGTTCCAGAGATGGTATAAAATACATATCTGGGCAATACCATTAGCTTCTAAAGGCAGATAAGGCCTGTATTTCAACACATGCACAGAATTAAATCTTCTTATGCCACTCTTCTACAGACCCTCCATGTCTGAGACACACCAGGTATGGACATGAGTCACTCTCGGTGTTCCACGTGCACATCCTCCCCTGAACACAGCACATGCAGGTATCGGAGTTTCGACCAACCGCACGTGATAACGCTGATGCTAAATGCTGCGGAGCCTCTTAAAGTAGGGACCTGAGCAGTACAGGATTTGACCCTTCCTTCAGCCAGAGTCCACACACTCAAACAGGCTTCCATTGTAAGGCAAAATTCAGAGGACACAGCAATGAAATATTTTTAGGACGATTACTATCACCTGAAAAATTCAGTTTTGCTAAAAATAAGATCACATGGGATTAATTTTTATCGAAATTGCATACTTTATACTATTTGTTCTTGTGATTTATATTACTATAATAAACCCAACAGTCATGCATACTGGAACGGTAGCTCAAACCAACTGAAAAACCCTTTTCTTCATGTACATTTAAAAAAATGTAATTTCAAAGTCTTAAAATATATTAACCAAAAGGCTCCTTTGTAATGATTTCAACATTTACCTCCAGACTTTTGTATTTCAAAGCAGCACATTTGCCTTGGCACCTCGATGACAGCCTTAAATGCTCATTTTCACTTTCACTAAAAACTTATTTTTTAACTATATACTGTCTTAGTTTAAAACTTGCTTGAATGCTAAACTCTAAGATCATATCTTCAAAACAGATTGTCTAAGTAAGATTTTTTTTTTTACATGACAGCACATAAAAATTTCAACAACCTGATGACAAACCAGACTCCTGTTAATTAAGTCATTGTATCCATCTGTAATAAGGGGGGAAAATAAACTATTACTTGAAGAAGTGAAATATGCTCCCTTTTAAAAAACACATTTAACAAAAAAATTACATTATTCTTAAGGCAAAATGACATGGGGAAGAAAAACCTGCAACTTTAGATGTTTGATCCTACCCCAAGAGACATGACCCCTTTTAGAACACTAAAAAAAGTGTTCAGAGCTTCTAGTGAGAAAAGTTTGTAACCCTGAGCTGCAAACAGCTGAGGAAAAACTCAAAAAAAAAAATCAATGAGCTGAAAAGTCAGGTGGACAGCTGATTACAAATACATTCTGACAGGTGATCATTAAAAGCCTGGCTCATAACCAGGCTCCTCTGAAAAAACAGAATGAGGACAGATTATCTGCTTTTAATTTATTTGTGCATATGCGACAGAAAATGGTGTAGCATCTATGCACTGTTTTTAAGAACTGGCTCAGAAAAAGCAAGGTTTTTATATTTCACTCTTGCCAACTCCAAATATATTTTAACTTTAGAAACCCTTGTAAATTACTAGTTAACTATGAAATGCCTTGAAACTGACACACAAAACAAAGTCAAATCCACATGAAGTCAAAGTAGGTAAATGAAATTCACAACTAAACATACACTTGGGGCCAGAGAGTCTGTTGACAGGTTTGGGGTGTTATTTCTTTTTAATGAGAAAGGAATGTTGCAGCCTTGTAAGACTTTTCTATTTCATTCTGCTCCACAACTTTTGTCCTTCTATTTATTTATTTTGCCTCCCTATCAGATGATTCTGACAATGACTTTGCACGCTGAGCATGGCAAACGATCAAGCAGAAGGGAGAGGAGTGGTTTCCTGCTCCCAAGAGCACACTTTGCTCTAGCAAACCTTGTGTGAGCAGAAGAGCACAATAAATAAGTCACCCTTGGTTTTTTGTTTTAAGAAAAAAAGGCAAAGCTCCATGTTTTCCAAATGTCAATGTTGACAATATTCCACTGACAGTGACCTCAGCCATGCTGGTGTCAAGCCAGAGCAGTTACTCTGGATTCATACTAAAGGGATGATTTGAAGTACTAATAAACTAATAGGAGGCTTCCACTGACACCAAACGGGGATGAATTAAGCATTACAATCAGAACTTGGACTCTACGATGTTTTCATTGCCTACAGCTGAAGGTGACTATAGATGTAATTTACCAGCTCAGGTCAGAGTTACACTCAGTTGATGCTATTTTAAGCAAGATTATAATGCAGCTTCAAAATCTAGTTTCTGCCCCCATGTACTGTGGCAAATTTTACTTTGCTCAACAGAGAATAAGATTACGGCCAAAATTTCTAACAGGAACCATTGTCTTTAACTTCAAAATAACTACTCAGTCCTGGATTCTCACATCAAATATTGGCCAAAGGAATATTCTCTTCCACAGTCCTTCTCCCTGTTCATTTAACACCATGGTATCTATGCATTACTATTCCATTTGTGGCTTTTTTTACTTGCTAATAGCTACCAACAAAGGAAAGATGAAAGGCAAGTTTCCTTGGAATTCCCACAGCTTCTGTGTGGAGCAACCTAGCAATAAGTAGATCTATGATTTTTATTTTTTGGAGTGTGAGTGATTTGAATCCTATCGGCCCTCTCTAAACTGCCTGTCAACCATACACGGAGAAGCAATGATTTACACGAGGGAGGAGGGCTCATGACAAAATCCAAAGGTAGTTCTTAGGGCTGATTTACCTGGTCTGACTGGGCTCTGCATGCAGTTCTGCGACACCATGCCGGGATTGACTGAAGTAGAAGCCCTGCTGCTGAGGTCCATGACAGAAGGTGATGCTGAGGTAGCTTGCTGGAGACCTGACTGGTGTGGGCTATGCTCGTGCTGGTTTGGGCTGGGTGGAATGCCATTTTCTGAGAGGAATTCTTCCAGGTCCATGTATTCCAACTGGAAAGTGTCTCCATCATACGGCAGTGTCTTGTCCCATAATGTTGGGCCCAAGAAAGCTGACTGAGGGACTGTGGCACTGGTGCTGTCATCGTCTAACTTCTTCTCTTTGTCTTTTTCTTTACCGAATGCTTAAACAAAACACAAAAAAAAAGATATAAGAGCTGAGTAATTAAAATATTGGCTACTACTACTTCAGTTATTTCTCCTGCACATTCAGTTATAATAAATGAATAATCCCTTCATAAAAATAACTCCTTTGTTGCAATCCATTTGGTGGAGAATTAAAGGGTCATGCCAACTGAGCACCTTTGCTGGATCCAACTGTGTTTTTGAGATTTTTCCTCTATTTTTAGTTAACAATTCCACTGCATGCATGCCTTTGGATGTCAGCTTCAATAAGTACTAAGATTTAAAAGTGAGTATTGAAGTGAAGGCAAACTGGGAGATGTTACGTATTCTGTTGGGAACAGTCTTAACCTAACATCCCCATAATTTATTATCCTCTCATACTTAAAAATTAAAATCCCAATCTGGCTAGTCCTTACACAAGGAAAGTTGTCCTCAAATTCATCACTTCTCAATATTGTTGTAAGCTAGTAACTTAAGAATTAACAGTGAAGTCAGACAGAATATGTATCCTGATGTGCAGAAGAGCTAATGAAAAATTCAAAGGTAGAAGCAAAGCAAAAAAAGAGGTTAAAAGGATGCTTCCTACTCATTCCTACAACATCCAGTGGTTTCAACACCCATTTTTAAAGGGAAACACCCGATTTCTCTATAAGATTTTGAAAGAATCCAAACCAAGACAGCTTCCTGCCAGCTACCATGCCTTCTCAACATTTTATTTTTAACCACACACAATAACCATGGTGAAATCCCGTGAGTCTCTTTGCAATAAAACTCCAAAAGCCGAGAACACAAAAACCTTTGGCTCTGCCGGACCTTTCACGGGTTTTTTTCAATCTGCATTTGATTCATTAGGAATACAAGACGCAGTTCTGCCCGCTCTACCTCAGCTTTCCAGCAAAGTTGAAGCTCTCCACCGGTCAAACCCCCGGCGGTTACCCGGGGCAGGTCTCACGGAGGGTGGATTCCCGCCGGGCGGGAGGGAGCCGCGGGGAGGCTGCGGCGGGCCCCGGGCTGAGGCGGGGGGGGTCCCTACGCTCCCCTCCACCCATCGCGCCCTTCCCTTGGTATTTTTCCAGGCGGCCGCAGCCGG